CGGCAATGCAAGTGTAGAATCACGCAAGAGGACTATATATACATACATATATATATATATATATACATATATATATATATAAAATATTTTTTTCTACGTACCAATAAATTCACGAGCATAGCTTGCAAGCATCTCTTAATGAGATCATTGATGATGATAAGAGTTGTGGGCATTGCCCTCCTCCTTCACAGAGTAATAATAATTGCATACACACACTAACATGTTTATGAGGTTACAACTTGCTAGATAACAAGATCTAATAACGTTTATAGGATTCATACAACAATATTGAAACATATTTATGAAGTTGGACAAAATGATGGCAATTTAACATATAAATTAGAAAGAAAATTTTATAGTAACGATTACTGGAAAATAAAATAAAAAAAAAAAAAAAGAAAAGAAGAAGAAGGCTGAAGCAATGTAGGAATTCATGTAGTCAAAATGTGACCGAGAAAATTAGGTGTAACACTAATTAGTGACAAGATTAGGGGAGTAGGTAGACTTAAGTGGGAGTATAAATTTATACATAGAAGACATATAGATGCAATATCAATGATTGCAGAAATGATAGTTTGCATAGCGATAAAAGTCTGAGAACCCATTTGAAAATTAATTTGAAATGAAATTATTAAAAATGAATTTAAAATGCCTATATCAATTAAAATGAATATTTTATTTCATTTTATTTATGCACATCAAATGCGGCACAAGTATAAATGAGAAGATTATAGCATTTTAATTGTAAAATTCATATACAATAAGCTGTAAATAGTCCCTTCATTTTTTGTATTATTGGTAACGGAGAGCAATGGCAAAATGATTTCTTATATATTTGTCTCTAATGGTGTAATACCAGTTAGTACATGATTAGAAAGTCTAAAGGATTGTAACACACGCGCATAATAAGTGAGAAGATTCTTGGTACTGAAAAGATACTGTATTTGTGATGACCTTTTACTTTTAGATCGGTTGTTCCAAGTCAAAGCCACGCGATTTTTGCTTTTCACTTAAGACGACCTTTCGCCAACACTTTTTTAGTTCCGAGTCTCGAGGTGTGCTGCCACGTCACTATACCCCAAAAAAAACCAATATACCCTAATTACTAATTATAATTTCTTTCCTCCATTGATGGAGGGATAGAAAAATACAAAATAAAGAGTAATGCTTCATCCCTATTTCCTATTTTCTTTTACCTCCAATTAAATACGAAAAAATTCTTTTATCTCTCTTCTCATCTATCCCTTCCAGGGACGAACATATGTACAGCAATTGTCCCGCCTTTGAATTTTGTTTAATGCTAATATGCTTACAAAATTATTCTTCTTTTCCTCCAACCAACCAACACTAATGCTCGATAAGAAAGAAAAAAAATTAAATGAAAAGGAGAGAAAAAAATGATGATTGAGACATCCTTAGAGAAGAAATTAAGCATTTTTTTTCCTTTTATTCGGTTAGATAGAAGAGAATGGAAAAAATTAATAATTTAATTTGATTTGTTGGATAAAAGGAAAAATAAAATTTTAAGTTATTTTTATTATTACATCTATTATTTACTTTATTTATAAAATTTATTAAATATGTGAAGACTGATGTAGTAATTTAAAATTTTTATAGTAGACATGGTAAATGAATTTAAATTAATCTTACTAAGTATACAACTATACATTGACGTGTGCAATAATGAAATGCATTCTATGGATTTACAACGTGTGGTTGTAGAAGATTCTGTCGTGATTACCTAGAAAAGGAAACAACTAAGCGGAATCTGTGGTTAAATCTCAGCCCTTCAATTTTTTAAGTAGTGCTTATAGTTTTAGTGGACCGAGTTAAAAGGCCCACTAGTTGCCAACTCGGATCATCATTAATCACGTGATTCTCACGAGAATGCACTGCGCCCAACAAGAAACAAAAAAGCTAACCTACTTTTTACGTGACAAAAACTCTCTCTCTCACGCGCGCCATTTGCTATCGCCACGTGTCACATCAAGTCCTGCTGGATGCCACGTGGATTACTTGTGCTCCACTGTCGTAGACGAGACGACCCTTTTTGACGGCTGGGTTTTGATCGAGTGGAGTATACCCCTGTGCGGCTCACCCACTTACACCAGGCCACGTTTTGTCCTGTGGGTCCAAGGTGTCACTGTTTTGCTAAGTTCCATTTGAGGTTTCTTACACGTGTCCGAAACATTCATTCCCATTCTCACGCAATTCCGATCAAGCCCAAGAGCCACATTCTCGGAACTTAGATCACATAGGTACATGGAACAAGAGAGCGTGAAAGTAACAAAACATAAATTAGAAATGAAATTCTATACAAAGCCTGAGAGTAAAAATTTATTCCAAGTGTAAGAACAAACTTTCTAAAAAGAACTGTGTAACTTAATTCAAAACTAACAAGTTTGTATTACATACAAAAGTAGAACAATCATGATTAGGAGCTTGATAGCATGATTCACATTAGCGATGTCGATTGCGGTGTAACGGACAATATCGGTATAAATCGATCGAACCAGTTAGTTCATAAAGGTGTGTAACAATATACACCAACCATGCTTGATAGTAGTTTAATTTGACTATTTAATTTACCATAGGAAAAAAACTTGCCTCAAGCTGTATATTAGGGTTCTCCTTTGATATTGATATGGATAAATAATAATATGACATGTGCCAATAAAAATAAAAAATAAAACTGGAATCATTCGAATCTTTTCACAAGTCATTCAACAAGGAAGATGATTTTCTCTCACGCGTGTGTGAGCCCTGATAGCGGGCTCTCCCTCTTTTTAAGTTACAATTCCTTCTCTCTTCTCACCAAATTCCCATTGCATACCCATCATCTCCCCGATTAAAACCATAATATTAATCCTTTCTTCCGTTTGCCAGTCTTCACTGCTTGCCACCTCTTCCATTCCCAAACCTAATATTTTATATTCAATCTTTAAAGATGATTCAATCTGCCACATTGTTGCTTGTCATCTCTGTTGCAACCCCATCTTCAAAATGATTCAAGAGGTCGACCAATTAATAAATACGCATAACTATAGCGATATCTAAAATTTTGAAATTTATCACCACTTGTTGTAATCTGAAGTCAAAACAAAAAGAAATTTATCTTAGGTCGCATAAGTAGGGCTCTGGTATTAATTTTTCACTCATATTAAAAAGTCAGAATCTTAAATAACTTTTCTTCAATAACATGTGAAATATTACACGTCTTGTCCTTCACCCACATTAAAAAATTAGAGTTACTCGATTAACGAATCCTAAATAATTTTGTTCATGTAGCGAAACTATTACAGTAGTGTATTGCAATATAACACTAGTAAATGTATTGAAGGGGATTGTCAATTTTAGTCCAAATATTATTGCGTGCTAGCAATTGTTAGATTCAATCTAAACGGAATCTTACTTGTTCGTAGAAGTTGACAAATACGGAGAATTTTTTTTTTTTTTTTTTTTTTTGGATTGTAACTTCAAAGGGTAAAGGTCATCATCCCTGTCACTCAACATACGAATCCGACAAAAGGGGGTCGTTTTAAGAATGCAAGGAGGTATATATATATATATATATATATATATATATATATATATTCTTTATGTTGCTTTATGTTGGATCTGAATTTAAAATATTTTAATCTAACATCAATTCAAGTTACACTTCGTCAAAATTGTTGAGTGACTCGAGCCTGACCTAAACTCTAGAATATGCATTATTATAATTATTATTTTTTAAAATAATAACAACTGAAATTCAACTCTATGTCTAATTCAACCAATTCAAAATAATTCTTATTCATGTAAAAATGTAAATAAATACTCAAATTAAGTTTTGAGTTACGTGAGTTGGAGGGTCAAGCCACCTTGTACCAAGTGAGCTGAAATATTTTTATTTACATTTTATATCTATGATTTTTTTAAAATTTTAATAATGCCCTCACAAAAATATTTACTGCAAACCTTCCCATGTATAAACCACTTCCCTAAAATTTTAGTGTTCTCTATATATTTGCCAAGATCATAATTGTTGACTTATTATTCTTTAATTATATATCATGCAAGATTCTCAAAATATGAAAACTCGCTGACAACTATTTTAAATATATTCAATGAGAATATCAATTAATGTTTAACTTTAATTTTTAAAGACCGTTTTTTCTCAAATAATTTTCTGACTCGTTGCTGACGAGTTGTGTTGGCTTATTTATTTATTATAATTACTATTTTATATTGCAAATGTGACCCTTTCTCTCTTACATTCTATTTTAAATAACTTATTTTTTAATTTTTTTTTATTAATTCAACAACTACGTCTACTAACTATCTCTTAAAATGGATAATAAGGGTTTAAGTTCTTGTAAAAATAAAATGATACAAGAAAAAAACAATAGAGGGTTTAAACGAGAAAGACCATGTCATCTATGGCATCACCCAATAATATCTTGGTACATAAATAATAATATTTTATTTTAGTATATTCAATCTCTGTGTATTAATATTTAATCAGTTGATAATATGACGTTGTCAAAGTTGTAAAATGTCAATAATTCAAATAAAAAAATAGAGGGTTTAAATGAGAAAAAATGTGCCATTTATGGCATCAATCAATAATATCTTGTTATATAAATAATAATATTTTATTTTAGTGTTTTCAATCTCTATGTATTAATATTTAATCAGGTTAATAATATAACAATATTGTTAAAGTAATAAAATATCAATAATTTAAGTAACACGGAAGGGAAAGAGTAATATATTATAACTATTTTAAAAGAATTGTATGACGTAAACATGGGATGAACCTTCAAATTTGTAAGGTACCGCAAGCGGCGGTTGATTTTGTGTGAGAGAATATTATAGTAACCGAAAGGTTGATTCGGTGAATGGGAGGTATTACAAAAATCTTTATAAACCGAGTTGCCTTGTTTGACACGTCTTCTCGGGGAGGGGGTTAACAAACTCCATAAATACCCCTGCCTCTCGCTTCCAATACTTTCTTTGTTTTCTCTCTCTCTCTCTGTCTCTCTCTCTTCCAGCTTAGTTTTAGGGCATTCTCTGTAGCTGCCGTTATTTTGTGGGGTAGGTGTACCACCACTTTTCTTAAACAATTTCCGTTAGTTTCTCGGGAAACTTTGATTTTCTCCGCTCCTTCTTCTCTCTTCCAATAAAATTAATGCTTACATTTTCAAGATTTTTTTTTTTTTTTTTTGAGTTTCAGGTTCTGAAATCCTCATCTGCATTCTAACGATTGGCTGGTGTTTGGTTGATTGGAAAGTTTGTACTCTCTTTCTGAACCCTCAAATTCGCAATATTGTGAATCAGGTATAGAAATTTCTTGGTTCTTTATGCAATGTTGTTGCAATTAGATTTAAAAAAAAAACAATTTTTTTGTTCCTTTCAATTAATTATCTCTCTGTTTATTGCTTACGCATCTTAGATTCTTGGTTTTTATTTTTATTTTTTTATTGTTATTTTAATTTTGCGTTTCTTTTCTGGAGAACAATCAATTTTTAAAGATTCAAGATTTATTTTTTGCGAGCCAAATCGGTATTAAAATTCGATTTTGTGATAGAATATAACTATCTATACTATACATACATGTGTGTATACTGTATGCGTGCGCGGTTCGGTCTCTCTCTCTCTCTCTCTCTCTCTCTTGACTATATATATATATATATATATATATATATTATATGTATGACAATATATTTGTTTAACTTTGTAAACAAAGTACAAATATTTTATTTTTGGGTTGTTGTAAACTATAGAAGATGTTGAAATCTCATAGATGTGTTCCAATCAGTTTTTGTGGTAAAAACTTAAACGTGGAAAAAGAAAAGTAGGTCAGCAGATTCTTTTGTGGAAAATAACGCCCTTCGAAACCTGAAGATTCTACGTGCGAAGCCATTAAATTTGTGCTGAAATTTAGTATTTGTATCAGCTCTGTCATTGAAATACAATCATTACAGTGAAATGGTGATGTTGAATTTGTTTCTTTCTTTGATTTTTGTATTTCATTTAGCAGTTTGGCGATTTTTTTCTTCTTCTATTAAATAGTCTAAAATTGGTTAAAATTTTCTTCAGAATAAATCATTTTACTGATGTGATTGTTTTGGAGTATGGACTTTTGGAATATTCAGCAGTAAATATAAATGTGCATGGATTTATAATTGTGATTTTACTGATATTAAAATTTCAATCCACATTTGGTCCAATTATTGAGTTTTATGGAGAATGTTTTATTTTATTATATATATATATTACATTAAGCTATCATCTCCATGATGTGGGCTTGGACTTATTTTTTTTGGAGAGTATTTTTTCTCAAATTTTTGACACCCTTCCATACCGAGATATAAATTAAAAATGATTCCCCATAACCTGATCATGTCATTACATTTATTTGATTTCCTTACTACTATCTTAGGTGTTGATATTGTTGTTCTTAATAGCTGTGCTTCTATTGACCTTCTAATGCATTTTGGGAAGGTTCCCCAATGTCCAATTTGGTTCTCTGTTCCAACAAAAAGGAAATTTATAAAATGAAGATTTAGGGTCGGAATGTTTCGATAATTTTAAGAAAATTTGTTAGGAATGAAAATTTACTTTAGTGTTTGATTTACCTGAGTGGATAATTTTTGTGAATCTTGGGGAGATTTTAACATGTCATGTAAGTTTTCTTTGAAAGAAAATAGGTCACACGAAAAGTGGATTCTTTTCTACGAAGTTTTGTTTGTAGAAGTAGTCAAAAAATAAATTGAATTTGGTGCATATACAATATAGTTAACAATCAATATTGCTCCCCTATAACTTTACATGGCATTATTGACTTGTTACTTGTTAGACGTAGAACACAAGTACTATGTACTATTACGTGATTATAACTTCCCTCTTGTTAATATTATGTATTTTCTTATAAGAAATTATTAACATGTTAATGTTTTTTGTTTTGAGTTCCATATCCTCGTGTATGCTATTTGATGTAGTTGATGCATTCGAACTCATTTAAGGTGCAATGTTGTCCAATTGATGTTTTGTTCAGGTTTAAACATCAAAAGCAAGCCTTTATGGTAGCTTAGTTTTCCCAAATCTTATTTTCTTCACTCTTTTTTCATCAATCATTCAATTTCAGTCCGATATGGTATGAACCTTCAGAAATCAAGTCTCTATCTGTATATGCTAATAATCATATTTTTGAGTTACTTTCAGTTTTTTTCCTTGGTAGTTTGATTGTGTGCGTGTGTCTAATTCATACGTCCAAGCTTCTTGCAAAGATAGATTGATTCCGCAATTACATAAAACTCGTGAAATTAGTCATGATTTGTCACTTCTAATCTATGGTGATATTATATGGAGATGCATTTAGACATTATCTAGGGAATGGCAAGGCTTACTGTATAAAAATAATATAGAATTTGATGTTTTGTTCTTCGAAAAGTCATAATGTTGACCAAATTAAATTATTTACTCTGTTTATCATTTCTCAAGCAGACAGGAGATTCATTTTTTGCCGGGTTCAGAAGCTACATACTGCACCTTTCTCAAGAAGTTTGAACAATGTTTCTTTACCTTGTATAAATGCAGTTTAGCTTTGGAGATGAGGTACGATGAGGTCTAAAAATATTGTTTTCGGTCAAGGAACAACCTCATCTTATTCAGGCTGTGTAGGTTTTCCATTTGACACTTTGCTTCTTGTCATCAGATTTCAGGAAGCTTGTGCTTGATGGAATGCTCACCGAGCAGCTGTGATAAGAAAACATTAAAGAGGTGGTTCTTCATAGACAAAAGGGTTGGGTAGAGAGTACTAAAAATTTGTTTATCTCTGTTTTGCTCAAGTGGCAGGTAGACATCACACTTTAGTGTGCAGTTCGAATCCTTCGTTATTAATTCGGATCCAATGGACTTGAAGTCCACAAATGCATCTCCTGTTCTGACCGATTCCGCACCCATAAACAAGTCAAGACTAAGCATCCCTTCCAGTATGTTGCCTTACTCACAATCGGGAGCATCGTTCTCCCCTGGCATGCTCACTATTCCAAAGAAGAAGCCGGGAAAACTTGATGATGTTCGGTCCAATGGTTGGCTTGACGCCATGAAATCCTCTTCTCCTCCTCGCAAGAAGATCGTGAAGGATTTTAATGTCGAGGTTGCTTCAGATGATGGTGATATTGGTTACAGCTCCTGGATGGTATGCTTGATGTCTCTTTTATTTGGCACAATTCTATGAGCAGTGCAAACAAATTTTTTTATTGAAATGAGTTATTGTAACCTTTTTCTTTCTTTCTTTTTTCTTTTTTGGATTGGATTGTGCAGCTTAAGTATCCATCAGCCCTCAAGTCTTTTGAGCAGATCATACATTATGCTAAGAACAAGAAGATAGTGATGTTTTTAGATTATGATGGTACTCTCTCTCCAATTGTAGATGACCCTGATCGTGCCTTTATGTCTGATGATGTATGTATTTACATATTATTGTTTGTATTAGTAACCTATTTCTTTCTGTTTATATGTACACTGAATTAAACAATTTGTTGTCAGATGCACTCTGCTGTTGGAAATGTAGCAAAGTATTTCCCAACTGCAATTATTAGTGGAAGAAGCCGTGACAAGGTAGCTGCAGGAACCTATATCTGAAATAATACTCTTGCTTCATGTATTTAAGAATCTACTTTTATTTTGTTCATTTTGTTATTTGTTGGCCATTGCTTAGTGTAATGGCAAAAGCTCGGGCTGCCAAGCGTGCAAATTTTGGTTCGAGTTTGGGGCAGCCATTTTGTGCCAAAGTATGTCCCATTCCATCACCCTGCATAGGCAGGGTTGCCATCGGATAGCGGCCATTATTCATTTTGTTATTTGTTTAAATATGCATATACTCTTTCTGGATGCCATTTTAGACCTGATTCCCCTCAACATTTTCAGGTATACGAGTTGGTAGGACTAACAGAGCTCTATTATGCCGGTAGCCATGGTATGGACATTATGAGCCCAGTCAGAGACACAGTCTCCACTAACCAGTCAAATTGTATTAATTCTACTGACCACCAGGTAAGAGATTACGAATGCCTTTTAGAGCAGCCCCTTAAAATTCCACCCTATACATCGATTGAAGGCAATGGCTTGGTTCTTCATTCTTTTATTCTTTATTCTGGTGATATATTTGTTTCTTTATTTTGTCTTCATAGGGCAAAGATGTAAATCTATTCCAGCCTGCTAGTGATTTTTTACCTATGATCAACGAGGTATGTAATTGTATCCCATCTTCTAGTGTAGGATGAAGCGTTTCCATTCTACTAATTAACAAGAACGAAAATTGGTTGTTTTATTATATCCGTGCAGGTTTTTAGAACCCTTGTTGAGAATACTAAAGATATCAAAGGCACAAAAGTTGAGAATCATAAATTTTGCGCCTCTGTACATTATCGTAATGTAGATGAGAAGGTACCTATTGCTGTGTTCTTTATAATTCATAACGTTACTGAATAGCTCACAAAGCTTTTGCTACTAGTATGGTTCATAAGTTGATTATGTTCTTTTGTTCTTTGACTGGATTCAGAGTTGGCCTACAATTGCACAACGTGTTCATGATATTCTAAAAGATTATCCACTATTGCGACTAACTCATGGACGGAAGGTATCCACCTTTTTACATAAAAATTCACATATGTTCTTGTTCATAATTTTTAAGTTTTACATGCCCATATGTATGTATATCAGTGTGTGTGTGTATAATATTGGACTTTCTTCTCCCGCACACAGGTTTTAGAGGTCCGTCCTGTGATTAACTGGAACAAAGGGAAAGCAGTCGAGTTTCTGCTTGAATCACTTGGTAAGTTGGCTACCTCACAAAAAAATGTATGCTCTTCAGTCTTCAGTTATGAATTATCTGGTTTTTTGTTATTGGAATTTTACTTCATTAATTAATATTACCGATACAAATTGTCACAGGACTAAGTAACAATGACAATGTGCTCCCAATCTACATTGGAGATGACAGGACAGATGAGGATGCATTCAAGGTAAAAACACCATACCAGTATGAGCCTGTAATTCTTGTGTAATAATATGTGTGCTATGTTTAGTAATGCATCGAACCTTCTTCTGTTGATCAGGTGTTACGGGAGGGGAATCGAGGTTATGGAATTCTCGTGTCTTCAACCCCAAAAGAAACCGACGCATTCTTCTCTCTCAGGGACCCTTCAGAGGTGTGATTCCGATCTCTAAAAATGTCTTTTTTGTGAATTTTCATTTTCTTTTCATTTCATTTCTTGCACCTATTAGACCTAAAGATCAAACCGTTCAATATTAATTGCAGGTCAAAGAATTCCTCAAGTCTCTTGTGAGATGGAAGGAAAGGAGTGCAAAAAATTCATCATGTCCCTGGTGAGAGATAGATGGAATGGTAAATGATTTGGGAGCTGCTGCATTTATTTGTAATACGAGTCAGAATTTTTTATTTTTTATTTTTTATTTTTTCTCAAAGTAGTAATCAGTTTTTTTTATAAGCTCTCTCTCCATCTTGTAAAGCATTAATCTTCCCTCTCCACCAAGATTGTGCATCTTATTATATTTTCACAACTCTGAAATAAGTTTATTGTTTAATTTAATTTAATTTTTGTTATATGATCCTTGTTAATTCTCTTAATGGATTCTATGTTTTTTGGGATGAATTTGTATTATTCATAAACAGGAGTCGGGATCTCTGGACCGTGCTGTATCAAACCCTACTTCCGGTCATATTTAATGTATTGAAAACAGATTTAATTGTGTTGAAAAATTGTAAGAATATTAGCTATACAGAGACTATGGTCAGACTTGAAATCCAGTTTTTGATGCAACTCCTAAAAAAAACTTCAGTTCAAGGGTTTTTATTTGCACCCATATCTTGATTTTCTATCTTTATTATTGCACCAAGCAATAACTTAATATTTCGAGTTCTTGTGGTTAATTGTAACACTGTTCAGTAAAATAGTAAAGTGGTTAAAACTAACTAAAAAGGAAAGGACAATTCCAGAGGAAAAAGTAATCCACTTAATAGGTGATACACATGGCATATTCATTCTAGAGCGGTTTGATCTAAGAGTTACACAATTTTTTAAATGTGCTTTTGTTCTCACGCTTAAATTATTTTATTGCTTTCGGACTTTCGTTTATGAACTTAGGCCGAGTTTTGTTGAAAAGGAAAAAATGGAGGGTAAAGAAAAAAATGGAAAATGGAGGGATAAGAATTTTTGTGTTTGGTGTAAAATTTTGGGAGAAAAACAAAGGAAATGGAAGGGTTTGGAGGAGTACATCAAAATTTGATGAGGTGACAAAAATGGAAGGAAAAGAAAGGAAAGAAAAGGAAAGGAAATGAAGGGCTAACACTTTTAATAAAACTTTATTAATTCTAAATTTATTTTTATTTGTATAAAACACAAAATCTATGAAAAAGGTTATTCTAATAAATTTATTAAAATGATTTCCTTTTCTTTCTTTTTCAAGCATGATTACTATTTTTTTTTTTTTTCATTCTTTAATCAACCAATAATGGTACATTGGAAAAGAAAAGAAAAGAAAAGAAAAGAATGAATAAAATTAATTTGGAGAGAAGATAAAAGAATGTGAAGGAGATGATAAGGAAATGATAATAATTAGATTTGGGAAAAGAAATAAAAAAAAAAGAAACTACTTTAATTAATTCGCTATCATACTTGTTTTTATAGATTTTGTCTTTTATAAAAATAAGGGCAAAATTTATAATAATAAAATTTCATTAAAAATAATTGTTTTTCCTCCCCTTTCCTCTCACTTTTGGGCCTAAATTATATCCTTTCAAATTCATCTGTTTCCTTTTTATTTTTATTTTTGATATTTCATTTCCTTTCCTTACCTTTCCTTTATTTTCCTTCCGTCACCCTCCAAACAAACTGGGCCTTAGGGTTTGATCACCTCATGAAAAGAACATGTTTTTATGTGAAGGCCTGGCGGAGAACACTAGGGAAGATGTTCCTATCAATCCCACTTAAATTATCGACAAGTGTACATCAATTCATCTTCGTTACCATCAACAATCAATGGACACTAGTACACAGGAGGACTACTCTTTACTTGATAAAGACAAGGTACAGGACATATAATGCTTAGGCATTATCTGATGTAATGGTTAAAATATTGGTTTGTAGGTACGACAAGTGTTACATTCTCAAATACTTAATTATTTGCTGTCAAAGTTTATTCAAGTGTCTCCTTCATCTCCATATATTAAAACCCTATGGACTAAATAAACAGTAGATTAAGGCAAAAAAAAATATTAAATTAAAAATTAGAGATATGAGAGTTAGAAGGCGAGGAGCAACTCAATTATCGAGTTCATGTAAATTTATGATAATAAATTTATTTAAAGTGACTATTTATATAAAAAATGATCAGTTTTAGAAAGGAAGAAATAACCGATTTTAGAATGGAAGAAAATTTAGTTTACGCCGACCAAATAAACAAGACATCCTGAAAATGAAAGTGCTTTAAAGTTTATTTCTTTTGTGCTTTGAAATAAAAGGATCATTCTTGTAACGTTATACGAAAAACCTGATAACTGAGTCAGACCTTCTTCGATTCGAAACAAATACCTTTCGTAGCAGCTAAAGATGAGTTCCATACATTAGGTTCTTCTATTTGTGTATTTTTTTTTGGCAAGTAGATATGGAATTGAGAAATCAAAAAATTCTAAAAAAAATCAAAGAGAAATTAAAAAATTCTAAAAATAAAGAATGAAATTTCATCAAATTTATTTCACCTCTTGTGAGTCGTGGACACAATAAAAAAAATGCTCACATTATGCATAAAAAAGAAAAAAGAAAAAATAAAAGAAAAACAATAACAATTTGACAGTTGTGATTAAATAAATAAGTGAAGTTAAAGTAGGTAAAATGACTATTCACGCTTATCCAACACAGATAAAATTATCTTTGCCCTGCTTATGATACTAACATATATCCACTGATCTCACTGAGTCACACCCGCTCTCTATAAATAATCTTCTGATCCCCATTTTAAGCTCAACAGACACTACTCTCTCTCACTAAAAATGTCAGCTTCCTTGCAATCTCCGCCATCATCAGCTCTCTCCTCTTCATCTCTTCAAGTAATAATCTCTCTCTATATATATATTTGTTATACGTATATATTAGTTCATTGTTTTTTGATCTAACAGGAGGGAAGATTGAGGTTCACCGTTCACTCCGTAAGGCGGAGTTTCATCTTCAAGTCTCAGAGATCGTTTCCTCAAATTCGAGCTTCCACAGGCTTCTCGTCTTCTCTCGACACTGGTCATCTCTCTCTCTTGATTTAATTTGATTTTGATTAGTGTCTTCTTGTATTCTGGATAATGATTTTGATTACAGTTTGATGTTTTGTTGCTGCGTTTAGGTTTAAACACTGAATTGGACTCTGTATCTAGCTACAGTGAGATCGTTCCTGATACCGTTATTTTCGATGATTTCGAGAGGTAAAATTTTCTCTATTTCACATTTTTCACTTCTTCTCAGCTGTAATTATATTTGAAGATTTTGATCGCTTAAATTTTGATGATTTCCTCATACAGGTTTCCTCCAACTGCTGCTACCGTTAGCTCCTCTCTCATCCTTGGTATCTGTAGTCTTCCCGATACAACATTTAGGGTAACTATTCAGTTTTGCAAATTTTATATATATATATAGCCACTGTTAATTTGTGTATAATTCAATGCATATTTATTTATACTGGAATGAGCCTATGCAGCTTGTGGGTATGAATACTATTAAACGGGTTAAAAAAATAAAAAAAAAAATAAAATAAAATTGGGAATTGGAAGTAATAGTGGTTTTGTACAATTTCTTTCTTGTTCATGTGTGTGCAAGTGAGTATGTGTGATTGATTTTTTTATTTTTTTAATTTTCTCTTTTATTATTATTATTATTATTATTATTTTTAATTTTTTGTTTTTATATTGTTTTTGTGTTTTGGGGATGTAGAGTGCTGTGGATACTGCATTGGCTGATTCAGAGTGCTATGGGTTAGAGAGCTCGGATATTCAGATGTCTTGTTTCTTTAACAAGGTTGGTATCTTTCCTTAATGTAAATGTATGCAGTTGCTTTGTCGATCTGACAACATACTGTTTGGAATTGTAGGCCTTAGTCAATGTTGGCGGTGAGATGGCAAAGCTAGTCCCTGGCCGAGTTTCAACTGAAGTGGATGCTCGTCTTGCATATGACACGCATGGCATTATCAGGAAGGTATTTGTTTCCTTTTCAATGTTCGGTTGTTTTAATATGTCATTTTAAGATGTGATTAATCTTTGAAATTTTGTGATTCATGTTTGATGATGTCGTTTTTATTTTGGCTGTCAATGTTGGAAAGTCCATACTGTCGATATGAACATCCCATTGAACTCTACATTTCAATTATTGAGATCCAGTAAATTCAGCAATTGAGGAATAATGCATTCTTATATAAAAATTTCAATTAAATTCCTTCATTTACTCAACTCGCATCTCACTTGATACCCCAATTTTGACATCTTTATAGAACAACCATGTTGAATTTGTATGTTCTTTTGATAACTCTTCAAACATGTAGAGTAACACAATTTACTCTTTGCGGACAGCTCTGTTAACAGATAAGTGATGTGTATGGCAACAAAAGTAATATTTTGTGCATTCAAGAGCCTGCATTTAATGTTCAAATTTCCCTTTTATGGCTGGAACTAAGTGATTATTTATATTCTAGATGATTAGTAGTCATTGTTGAAGGCGAGCCTAGGCGCAACAGTAAGGTTGCTCTGTCGTGACCTGGAGGTCACGGCTTTGAAACACGGAAACAGCCTTGCCTATCTGCATGCGGAGGGGCTGTACATCTAGCCCTCCCCAAACCCCGCAATGGCGGGGGTCTTGTACACTGGTTTTGCCCTTTAAGATCTGTAGTCATTGTTGACAATACCATCACAATAATAGTTATCTTAACAATTGATGAATTTTTAAATAAATATTTTCCCACCAATTCTTCAAAATGCCTATTATCTGAATACATCAAATTGATTCCATGTTCATCACTCTTAATGATTATGAGTTTCTCTAGTAAGTTTGCCACCGTAGTAAGAGAATCCCCCAACACCAATTTCTTTTATAGATGATGATTGGCTTTATTAACTGGCAGAAAGTTTGGAATTGAAGTGAAATACCCACTTGAGCCATCCCCTTGGGGTTGAATTTTTTTTGCTTTTTTTTTTTTTTTTTGTGTGTGTGTATGGTGACTAAAGGGGTGTCCCCACCCTTTGGTGAGATTATTCTTCTCCGGACAAGTGGTAATCCCCAATGCCACTGGCCAATTTTAATCCAGAGAAAGTATTTGTGAGGCTGGCCTCAAGGGAGGGGAATCGAAACCTCGACCTTAGAAGAGTAGTTATTAACCAACTCTTCCACCCCATTGGGGTCGAAACCATTTTTGAGTCCTCTCCCATATATCTTTTGATTTGGAAGACGGGCATTGCATTCAGTTGCATAGAAAAACCTGCCCTTGGGAGGGGAACAACAACTAGAATGACTGCTAATACCCTATAGGCTAACGAGTAGAAGGAGGAACCTGCCCAAGGAGGATCACGAGACGAAATAATAGCTATATAGTAAATTACCCAATATTTCCCAAATTACTCCAACTCCATACCATTTCTGGCATAAACTGTATATCTCAGAGAGGACGTATTTCTTTCAAATGAAACATGCACTTTTAATGTCTACATATCTGGAAAATATGATAGTATCTTGTACCTAATCCAGTGGTTCTTATATATATATATATATATATATTAAAGCAATGGGGAAGACCAATAGGCCAGTGGCCTAGCGGTACTAGGTCTCTACTTCCCATAGGGAGGTTAGGGGTTCGAGCCTCAGTGGGGCATGTGTGTGTGAGTACCAATTAAGAAAAAAAAAAATAAAGCAATGGGGAAGAGAACAAAAACATGCCCACTGATACTGAGACAAAGATGGGCCGTCAAAATAATGATACTTCTTTGTCTTTTGAGTTGTTATGTCAAACTGGTCATAGACTCGCACAAGTTCTTTGGTCTTTACCCAAATCAGGAATCATGCTTTAATAATTTATCTTATGACACCGGGTTTTGTCGAGCTTGGAATGAGTATGAAGTAGAAATTACTATTATGATGGATCTTGACCGAGGGTATCTTGTGCAGATCTTTTTATTTGAAATATAGTTTTTCTTTGGATACACTTTTTGAAGGTTCACTACTTAGGGATGGTTAAATCACTCGGTTGACAGTTTAGACAGTTAACCTTTTATTTTCTGGTAGCTTTACTTTTATGTTTTTTATCATATATGACATGTCAACAAATGTTCTATGCTCTCAAAATATATAAACAACCATTTTTAAAAGACATTTTTGGCACTCATACCATTTCCTTTTCTTGTCACGAACATATGATCAGTTGGCTGCTTGCATTTAGTATCTGTATATGGTGTTATACTTCGTAACTTAGTTCCTTTATTATGTTCTTTCAACTAAAATATTTGAAATCACACCTTGATCCTATATGCATTGGCCACGTAGAAGTTGATTTAAATGAGGTATGACCCTAAAATGTTAAGATGTAATTGAGAATGTTAAGATGGATGGTCGGAGTGACTAGAAGAGATAAGGTTACAAATGATGGTGTGAGAAAAAAATAGGACTGACACTCATTTGTGAGAAAATAAGAGTGTAGACTTGATTTATACATCAAAGACCTATAGATACACAAGTAAGAAGAGGAAAGGTTAGTTCTCATAGAAGGTAAGAGACGAAGAGGGAAACCAAAATTAATGTGGGGTGAAGTTATTAGAAAAAATTAAATATAATAAATGAAATGGCATGTAATAGAAAAGGATGAAAAAAGAGAATTCATGTGGCTAACCCCATTCAGTGGGATTAAGGAAAGGATGATTTGATAACCCTAGGAAATGGCTCAGGGTTTCTTATGCTACACTGTGGATTGAAAATTCCATTGACAATCATTCTGATCATGCAGTCCTCCCTTAAAATGATGTCTGTTGATTTCAGCTTATAAATGTTCTAAAATTTGTCAATGTATATGTCTACAAATTATCTGCTGAATAGATATAGCATTTTGTTAATTGTTGGAATATAGATGGTAGTACTCCCAGCATATTCAATTTCAAGTGGACATTATCAGGGATTGTTGAACCAATATTGTACCCAACCTGTCCTTTTATCAGTGATTGTATTGCTAGTTACTACATAATTTGACACTTTGAGTTGATCATTATGTTCAGGTGCATGACCTGTTGAAATTTTATAACAAAATTGAGGTCCCTCCAGAACGTTTACTGTTTAAAATTCCTGCAACTTGGCAGGTGAGTATTAAGAAGGAATTAATTAATTCTGTTTATCATAAGAAGTACTTCATAAATGAATGCTTGCAATTCTTTTTGTCATTTATTTGCTTGTTATCTGTTAATTTCTTATAGGGAATAGAGGCATCAAGATTGCTGGAATCTGAGGGAATACAGACACATCTGACTTTTGTTTATAGGTACATACAAAATGGGAGCTTGTCCTTGAAATATCTCATCCCCTGGTTACTACCAGCATGAAGACTGTCAAATATGTCGTTAAGTAGTATAGCTAGTGCCCAGCATTACTCAAAATATAAAAGCAATTGTTTATATTTGGCGTTTTTGACGTTAAGTCAGACCAAGCTTGAAACTCCACTTATAAAATTAATAATGATTTATAGTTCACATGATTTAATTAAGCTTATGCCCATTCAATCAGATGCAGCAAATGGAGTTTGTCAATTTTGATCCATTCGAGGTGCATTAAGCACAATAATGAGAAAAAAAAGAAGTATTTTTGCATTCTCTCTCTTGACCTCGATATGTTTGTTGTTATCTTGTGGAATTGGATGTAATGCCGATCCTGAATAATTAAGACAGACTTCCTTTGGTTGGTTATGGATCCAGATTGCATGTGTTGTTTTTTTGCCACTTTAAATAGTTCATCTGTTATATACCTGGCTTATTAGTTTTTTCACATTTCTGGTAACAGCTAAAGCTGCAATTATTATCATATACCTTTTCCAATAGTCTTGGTGACTTCATTGGATTTAGTCTATTTTTTGTATCGAGAAGCAAATCACTGCTCACTTCTTCAACTTGCTAGATTCTGACCAACAAATTTCCAATACCGGTAATTTGGTCCTTCATTAGGTGATTTCCTGTCTAAATTACGTCAGTCTACACCAATAGCGAGCCCCTTCATAGCATCTTCAACTATTATTGTAACATCCTTATATATGTGGTATAATGAGCCTGTCTATTGTACCAACACTCTGGGCTCATGCATATTTAATTGATAAACAAGTCAGAGTTGGGGTGAATCTGAAAACTTATTTTTATTATTATTATAAATAATTGTATTCACTTTTTCACTGAAGGTCTTCTAGTGTTTTCTTTTCCTCCCTCTTATTCTGACAATTTATAAGATGAGGATTAGTTTTAGCAAGATTGTTTTGGGAAGTCTCTACTATTGATTTAGTTGTTGTATAATTTGTACGCTAATAGTATTAGTTTCCTATTTTCCATGAAACTTGTTCTTGCATCTGGTGACTTATTGCAATCCTTGATGATTTGGTGATGTTTCAGCTTTTGTCAAGCTGCAGCGGCAGCTCAAGCTGGTGCTTCTGTTATTCAGATATTTGTTGGTCGTGTTAGGGTATTGTCCTTCCTCTAATCAGTAATAAATAGCATTGTTTTCAAAATTGTCACTCTGGTAGCATCAATAAGGTGTGTATAATTTTTTAAAGGATTGGGCACGCAACCATTCTGGTGACCCTGAGATAGAAGCTGCTGTTAAAAGAGGAGAAGATCCTGGGTTGGCTTTGGTTAGTTTTCACAATCTTGCTGCTTTGTTCACTTCATGATCCAGTTATGGCTAATAAGGACTATTATTGTTTACTCTTCGGGTGCACTCGTGTTCGAGTAGGCAGCCCTAGGTTAACTGCTGATTTTGCTGCATATGCCAATGTTTCTCACATCATGTGGTGGAATGCAGCAAATGCTTTGGTAAATACAGTAACTATACATACAACAACAACAACAAAAACAACCACCGCCACCACCATGCCTTTTCCCAATTACCTGAAATACTATAATTCTATATATATACTTATCAAATATGTATAGTTGCAAGTAGCCTTTGTGTGTGTGGCATATATATATGACTAGGTTCAAAATGAAGCTTATACTGCCTAGAATGCAAGCATAAACTGACTGGATTGTTTTTAATTAGAAAATCACTTTCTGACTTTTGAGTTTTTATAGTACGTTAAGAGTTAAGTGCCATCATGAGATGTAGCTTGATAATGCTAGCAAATCATAATGATTATAACTAAGAACAATTTTTTCCTTTACTTCTGTTTGTGACATCCATTTTCTATGAAGTTGCTTGAATTTCGGGCTTAAAAAGTTCAAATTTTTAGTAATCTTTAATGTTGTTTTTCACTCTTTTTTTTCTTCCAATCTTCCATGTCTCCTGTAAAACTACCTTACAAATTGGTGTTGAATCCGAGTTGATGAAAGATCTTAGTTGCCTTGCTTTGCCCAATTGGCCGGTGCAGCCTTTGGTCTTCATGCCTACATTTCTGCCGCAATATTTTCATTTCAATATGAAATTTCCTAGAACCCTTTTGAGTTATGGAAGTATAAGTTTCCAAATAGTCCATTGGTTATAGGTCCATAACTTGGAAATATAATTTGTACCCACCTTGGACAATAAACATAGAAGTTTCTTTTCTTCTTTCTTCCTTGTCAATTAAGTGACTTGATAGTTGAAATCAACCACATTCATGTCTACCTTTAGGTAAAGGGAAGAAGAGATAGAAGGCATTAACACCAAAGAATTGCCTATGCACTCGGTACATAATCTCTATTATTGCAGGTGACAAAAGCTTATAATTACATACACAAGTACGGGCACAAATCAAAGTTGATGGCAGCAGCAGTTCGGAGCAAGCAGGATATATTTAACCTTCTAGGGTAACTATATGACTTACCTTCAATCACTGTTTGGAGGTTTTGACCAATTCGGCCTCAGGAATGATAATTTTCTGCTCAATCTCTGTGTTTTTTCCTTGTTCAGGGTTGACTATATAATCACACCATTGAAGATATTGCAATCTCTCAAGGACTCTGTCACTCCCCCTGATGACAAGTACTCTTTCGTGAGGAGGTTATCCCCACAATCAGCTGCTACCTACAAATTCAGCGATGATGAGGTTAGCGTTCATTCCATATTTTTATGTATTTCTACCCTCAATTTCTATATTTAGAACTAAATATCATTTCATATTTCAAAAATTATTACATGCTGCAATAAGCTGGTAGATACTAGAAACTGATGGTGCATTAATCTGAGTCGTCCTTCGTTGAGTAGAAATTAATTACTTTTTGCCATAATGAACAAGAACAACATTTCCTATATATGTATCTTTTACGAGCCTCCAAATCCAACAGCCCATTATAGGTATGGGTGCACTGTACTCCTCATGGATCTAGATCCCGACAAGAATATCAAGTATCAACTAAAATAAATCCAAAACTAAAAGATCGATCATTCTTCTTTTTGCTTAATTAAATCGTGCAACCTAGCTAGAATTTGGGATTTTTCTTGAATTAGATTTACTAGCTAATTTTCCTTCCATTTTCAGCTAGTAAAGTGGGACCAATATAGCTTTTCATCAGCCATGGGGCCTGCATCTGTGGAACTTCTGGGTGGTGGTATGGAAGGCTATGTTAACCAAGCGAAGCGGGTTGAGGAGTTGTTCGGGAAGATATGGCCACCCCCAAATGTCTGAAGTGGTCTAGTGATCGAATCACTAAGCAGAAGCTTGACAAAATAACAAAAGTCCACAAATCTGGTTGAGGGTGTTCTGTCTGTTTGTGAAAATCTTTTTTTTTTGGGTGATTCCTCTCTCTCTCTCTCTCACAGTTGTATGCCATCTTTAGCGACATGTTCTTGTCTAAGCACTTCAATAATACCATATACAATTTGCAGTTAATCCTTGTCTTAATAGTGGTTTGTATGTATGCGCCTACAAACACACACACAGTAAGTGTTCCTTTCATTCACAGGTTAATGCATGTGGACGCTTGCGAGTTATGAGTAACATGGGTGTGCATGTGGAATCTAGAATATTATATATATGTGCATGTGATAACATGCAGAATCATATACATGAATGCGGATGATGAAGGCGAACAGGCTAGGATTGCTACATATACATGCATATGTGTGTGTGTGCGTGTGTATATATATATATATATATATAAAGATATATGGTGGTTTGTATTATATGTTTTGTTGTCTATTTTTTGATTTGGTTTTACAGGTAGACAGAATAGCGTCAAGCAACAGAATTAAGAGGGAAAAGACGAACTTATTAACGTGGATGGATTTGTAAACTACAGTGATTTTAGAGAGACCTAGCACATGCAATATTATTGTTAATATTATCCTTATTATTAATAGTAGTTTAAAAAAAGAGACACTGAATGTGACTATCCTGGATGAGAAAATCTATAAAAGAAGGGCCCTTTGAACTGCAATCATGGACACACAAGATTAGGTTAGGAGATTGTTTGGTTCAATTTTAGTAGTTTGTTCATCAAAATTTATCTGACATTTTTACCCTGAAAATTAGGTAAGAAAAGAAAGTATGTAATTTGAGAAAATATTAAATTCTTAATTTCGACTCACCACATCCTTTCCCTCAAAAACTTTCTTGCTCCCGCTGCACTTTGAAACTGGAAAAGTTTTTCTCCTCCCCATCTTGCCAGGTGTTAAAAATAAATAAAATAATAAATAAAAAAGTTATTAGTAGTATGAAAAACTGTATCTACTTTGGATGATCTAAGACTACTCATCATATTAACGTTGTTCAACTTCTATAACCGCTCACGGTGATTGTATGTTAATTATGGAATATTTTAAAAGGTTTAAAATCAACATTAAAAAAGAAAAGAAAAATCTTTATATTTCTTTTAAAATCTTTTTCCCCCTTGAAATAGTATTGCTTATAAAATCTTTATAGTTCAATAAAATCAAAGTCCATTTATACATTTCGATACTTTTGAGGGTAACGAAGCACATTAAATTTCCTTGTTTTGAAATAATAGAAACACAAGGGGTAAATTATACAAACTAAACACTAGTATATTGTTTAACGTTCATTATTTGATCTCCTCTAAACCAGTTCATCATATGCAGGAATGTGACTTTCAGTGTGAAAAGTTAATAATACCCTTATATTATAATATTATATTGCAAATATTTGAAAACACACATATTTGTCTTTTCATTTAAGACAGCTGTAAAATTGTTATTTTATAAAATTTGGTCAACAAATCTATTGTAAGCATTTTTTCCTACTCGAACTCGCAACGTCCTAGTTGTGGTCGGGCCACCCTGCCTACCTAGGTGGCTCATCCGAACGCCTTCCGTGCTCGGTACTTGGTGTGACACCAAATCAAAGATTGAGTCTGTCTCTGATACCAATTTTAACAGGTGGACGCTTGCACATTTACCCAAAAATTTAAGTTATTAGATAGTGTTGCATACTCACCCATTTATACCTTTTTTATTTTTCATTCGGATCCAATTTAAGACAAATACCCCTTGCAACATCTATCGCCGAGGCATCATTAAACACACATGCTAAATCACAAATAATGTTAAAATAATAAACTCTAAACAGTATACCTTAGTGGTGCCGCAAATTTTTTTTTTTTCTTATTTTTTTTTTTTTCAAAAATAAAATAAAATAAAAATAATAAAAAGTAAACAACACACGCACAGGCCATAGCCTTCTTAATTACTTGTGCTTGTGCTGGCACAGTACTCTGTATATATATATATATATTACTCCGAATATAAACGTTACGTCCACTGAGCATTAGATGAAACCTCTCTCCACATCACATGCTATATAATCGTCCTAATTAGCCAGACAAACTATTCCAACCATTAATTTATATATGGTTATGTTTCTATTGTCAACAACATATATTGTACTCTCTCAACCATGCATGAAAACCAGTTAAAACCAGCAAAATATATGGCAAATCGGAATCCAATGCTCTATATATATATATATACATCTCTATATCTACCAATCTACTCCCCATAAATAATACACACACAAATACACGTACAACCACTTAATCCACACCTCTCTCAACCACATTCAAAATTTTGATCCACCATGGCGATCCCTGGCCCATACCGTCGTGAGCCGGAGGAACCAATCACCATTTTTCCACATTCATACACTCGCCTGCCGGATGACACCGATTCGGCTGGAGCTCCGGAGAATTACCGGAAACCCACGAAAGTAGTTTTGTTATTCTTTTCTTTTCTGTTGATGGCCGGAATTGTTTCGCTGTTCGTGTCGGATTCTTCGCCGGAGAAGATAAATCCGATGCCACGTGGCCCCTCCCACGGGGTGTCGTCGAAGTCATTTGGCCCTAGGCCGTTGTTGGGAACGCCGGCGTTTCAATGGACCGATCGGATGTTGGCTTGGCAGAGAACAGCTTTCCATTTTCAACCTGAATATAATTGGATGAATGGTACGTGGGTTCTTTCCATTATATATACCTTGCATATATATATATATATATATATATATATATTGTCTCTAACAGCACTGGAAACATAGCATTCCTGCGTAATATATCAAAAGTTACTCAATGAAATGTTTAACATTTTTAATTTTATTTTTAATTTAATTTTGTATTTCTCGTTTCATATATATATATATATATATATATTTTTCTGCAAGTGGACTGCACTGCAGTTAATTTTAAAAATTAAGGTATATCTTTCTGACACTTACTTTGATCTTAATAATAAATTGATATTTTAATGTTTCTGTTGAATTTGTTATCTAATTCTTTCGTATAAAAAGCTCATGTTTTCATTTTTATGGTTTTTTCTGCAACTTTTGACTGTGTCATTGCCATTGCTCCAATGGGGAATGTGATTCGTTCTGCTTCAGATCCAAATGGTAAGCCCATACCCCCCCCCCCCCCCCCCCCCCCCCTCTCTCTCTCTCTCTAAATTCTCTCTCTCTAAATTCAATTTCAAACAGATTGATAAAATTAGATATGATTGAGAGCATCTTAGTTGGAAATAATTCAAATTTAGATGGTAGTTGTTATAACTGTACAAAAGATAGAAATTAGCCAAGATATGAGAAATAATTCAAAAGTTTAAAACTTAAAAACTCTCACGGTAACCTCTAAATTATTTCGAATAATTTTTATTCAAAACTAAAAAAAGCTTAACTTTTCAGATAGACTATGCATGTCTCACAAGTTTTCTTAAAAATTACCACTCTCTATAAGAGGCATTTAAATTAGAATTAGGAAAAATTATATTTTGGTGATTAAACGAAAACAAAATTGTTAAAATAGTGACCTTAAAGTCAAGAAAAGATGGATAATGACCAATTTTAAAACTTAATTACTAATAAGTGACCATTAAAAGTAATTTGGTCAAAAAAAAAAAAATACTTACTTGTTATAAAATATTCTAAAAATAAGTTTTAGATGACAAAATTGTTTATTTATTCTCCTTTCTCTTTCTTGTCTATTTTTTCCTTTTTAGTTTGCAACTTACCATTTGAAAAATTAGAAACTCTTTAATAACCTTATATCTCAAATTTAAAATTTCTTTATTAACTTATTTTTTTCACAGCTCTCGAGAAACTAAGCACGGAACTAAGAATATTGTATCCATAATTATATTTTCTTTAGATTTACGTACTTTCATGTTTGATCGAATTCCATATATATTTATACACACATATCTTGTTTGCACTACCCTCATCGTCTTCATCTTATCCTCTGAATGCCGAATAACAACAATAGTTTTTAATGTTGGGGATAAATTTGTTCCATTATATATATATATATATATATATATATATATATATATATAATAAGGATATTTATGTAATAACTCATCAAACGGTCACTTGTTGGTGACCATTTATCTTTTCTCGACTTTAAAGTTACTTTACATCAAATTTTAATTTTTCCTTAAAATTAGGACAGGGGAGTATAAATTATCATACTTATCCATATTTAAGTAGAACTCCAATAATTAGAATGTTAAATTTAATAGTAGCCACATTAGTCTATAACAAAAACATGATTTTATTTATTTTATTTTTTCTTAAAATAGTGAAGTATATATTAGAACCAAGATCAATATTAAAAATGACGGGTCATGAATTTGAAATTGGAAGATTTGAACTAATTATTTAATTTACAATCGTAATTGATTTTTGAAAAAATTAACACATATGCCAATGTTGTAGGTCCACTGCATTACAACGGAAAGTACCACTTGTTCTACCAATACAACCCAGATGGTGCGGTATGGGGCAACATTATATGGGGCCATGCCATATCAGCGGACCTGATCCATTGGCGGCACCTCCCAGCGGCAATGGTGGCCGATCACTCCTACGACGTCAACGGTGTCTGGACTGGGTCCGCCACCATCCTCTCTGATGGCCAAATTATGATGCTTTACACTGGATCAACCAAAGACCATGTGCAGGTCCAAAATCTTGCATACCCTGCCAACTTATCCGATCCTTTGCTCATGAATTGGGTCAAGTACTCCGGCAACCCGGTTCTTGTCCCGCCACCCGGCATCGGTGCCCTTGATTTCCGTGACCCGACAACCGCAATGTACACGGCTGAAGGCAAGTGGCGGGTCATTATAGGGTCTAAGGTGAACAAAACTGGCATGACACTAGTGTATGACACAAAGGACTTCAAAAGCTTTGAGCTGTTAAATGGGACGCTCCATGATGTCCCGGGTACGGGTATGTGGGAGTGTGTGGACTTTTACCCGGTTTCCGAGACTCACGAGAATGGGCTGGACACATCAGTGAATGGTGTGGGAGTGAAACATGTCATGAAGACTAGCCTTGATGATACAAGAAATGATCACTATTCACTTGGGACTTACGATGAGAAATCTGCAAAATGGACTCCTGAGAACCCTAAATTGGATGTTGGCATCGGATTGAGATATGATTATGGAAAATTTTACGCGTCCAAGACATTTTTTGACGGAAAGAAGAAGAGGAGAATCCTGTGGGGTTGGATTCCTGAGAGCGATAATGAACGCGCTGATGTCAAAAAGGGTTGGGCCTCCCTTCAGGTACATTTTTCAAACACCACTTCGTCTGAAAACTTAACTCTTAAGCTATTAGAGATGACGCAAGTTTAATATTAAAATTCTTCTAACAAGTCTTTCAAGTGTGACCATTTTTTGGGTTAACACGAGTTTCAATTTCAATTATCTACCCACTTGAAGGGAGGAGGGACTCGGAATCCCCCTAAGGGGACCCTGGCCAGAGGAGGGCAATAAATCAGGAACTTGTACCTTGCCTGTTCTGGTACTAACATGTCGAAAAGCACATTGTGAAATTATTTAGTCACCTTGTGCTATGTTTGTGTGATGATGCATGACAGGGCATTCCGAGGACATTATTGTTCGATAAGAAGACTGGCAGCAACCTAATTCAATGGCCGGTTGAGGAGGTTGAGAGACTCAGATTGAGCAGCATTGAACACAAAAGGGTGGTACTTGAACCAGGGTCAATCATGCCACTTGATGCTGGCAAAGCAACTCAGGTGTTCATATATTTTTGGTTTCAATTAGTGAAGTTTTTTTGGCTTATTTTGCAGTGAAATTTGAACTTTATGGGATGATAATACTTTGGAAATGAAACAGTTGGACATCACTGCTGAGTTTGAGATAGATAAGAAGGCCTTGGACAGAATGAATGGAACCAATGTGGCTGACAGTGGCAGCAGCACCTCCTGTGGTGCAGCCGCGGAACGCGGCGCGTTGGGACCATTTGGCTTCTTGGTTCTTGCAGACAAGAGCCTTTCTGAGCAGACTCCTGTGTACTTCTATGTTGCCAAAGGGACTGATGGCAATTTCAAGACTTTGTTCTGCACTGATCTAACAAGGTCTGTTTCTTTCCTCCTCCTTTGTAATGCTTTTCTTGTGCTCACTAAAGGGTCAATTTTCTCAATAAAAAAACATTTATGTTCTTGATACAAATATCACAATTTTATTCTTAGTTCTGGAATTGAAGGCACTCTTTTAGCCAAGTATTGATTTTTTAAGAATGAACACTTTAAGGAGCGGAAGTTATCAGCGTTCACAAATGAACAATAAACAACTTTGAATCTACAAAGTACAGGCAACGAGGACCCTAAAAATATTAAGAAAACCAACACCCTAAGAAAACTATCAAAAGCTAAAAATAGGCCTAAAATTCAACTGTCTCTAAAAATTACGAAAAGAATTAGGATAAGAAACCCAGTTACTAAAAAATACTAAATACAAACAATTAGAAGAATATGAGTTTGTTAAGACCACAAACAAAAATCTTGAAATATTCAATAATTTGAATAACGTGATTCGGAATTCGGCAAAAAAAAAAAAAATCTAGCGTTTTCCGATCAAGAATAAGATCTTTCCAAGTCAAAAATGGCTTGTTGAAATTGTCTCGAAAATCATGTTAGCATGTCCATTTTGACTTTTGACTGTCCAAACGAGTTGTACATCAATTCTATGTCTGATCAAGGCGCATTGTCTTCCTTACAGGTCTTCTGAGGCACCGGATGTTGTAAAGCCAATCTATGGCGACGCAGTTCCTGTACTAAAAGGCGAAAAACTAAGTATGAGGATACTGGTGAGTCTAAAACTTCTGTTAAATTCTTCTTGTGAAAGAAAATAAAGTCATCAAATATTAATTCGGGTGGAAATGGATGGCGATTTAGGTGGATCATTCGATCGTAGAAGGCTTTGCTCAAGGTGGGAGGACTTGCATCACCTCAAGGGTGTATCCTACAAAAGCAATCTATGGAAATACTAAGCTGTTCTTGTTCAACAATGCTACTGATGCAGACATTACTGTCTCATTCAAGATATGGCAGATGAATTCTGCATACATACATGCGTATCCCACCGGACCCTTAAATTAAATCTGGTAAAATTTTGGTCAATCTCATCAGCCTCAATCAAATTGTTCAAAGTAGACATACCCAATTCTTTTTTTTTTTCAATTTATTTCGACCAATTGAAATTGTAATCTTTTGGTTCATGGAAGAGGTATTGTATTCATATGCCATTGATGTATTTATTTAACATTGTTATTTGAAGTTGTTACAAGTTCATAATAAGTTCTTTGAATATTCAGATCATTATATAAATGAAGTTATGATTTTATGGAAATTCTTTTGTCATTCTGTTGATGGAAGGATCAGAATTTGAGATCATAACAGGAAGGGTTAGGTTGTAGTGGCAAAAAACTACCTCATCTAACCAATTTTCAAATTCTTACCTTCCATCAACTGACAAAGATTAAATGGCATTACCAAATTTCCATATTAAAACCCTTGCCTACACTTGCTAGCTACCCTAACAAAGTAATGGCCATTAAAAGTATATAAACCGGCCTATCAATGGAAGAATAACTAGTACAAAGCTAGATACATGAGGGTGCTTGAAATAGATAGATTCAAAATCGACAATTTAATTTAGGAGGAAGCAGTACAAAGCTCTCCTTTGAATGTACGGGCTCAAATGAGTCCCACGCAGGAAGAGCAATGATCCCTTTTGGTACTCTCTCCATGGAGAGGGTGTTGTCACTCTCCATCATTTGATGGGAAGGGCTAGTAGAGGAATATGAATGGCTCCAGGAAAAAAGAAAACCACAGATAAAAAATTTAGGCCATGCAAGTCTCTCTGAGTCACTAGTTAGGAAAAAAAAAAAAGAATTCAGGTGAGAAGTTTTGCTTTTTTACACACACAGTAACCCAAACTGCAATATTGGCTCTCCCTCATTTTTTTTTTCTTTAATTTTCCAGTAACTTTGACAGTTTTAGTTTATGCACCATTGTACTGGTCATGATTTAGTTCAACCCACATAGCCCCCTCAATAAACATTAGCCTTCCAACTTAGTCGATTAAATCAGAGAAGGAAAACCTTTGTTTTTTTTTTTTTTTTTTTTTTTTTTTTTTTTTTTTTTCACATTGTTCTAACGTGAACTTGAATCCTTAATCTACGTAAACTTGAACCTAGACTATTCATTTTAAAAAATATTATTGTGCTATAACTAGTGGTGAAGAAGGAACCTTCTAGAATATTATACAATCATTTGCATTTTGTCAATGTCTAATTAAAATGGAGTAAAGTACAAGACCCATCTTTTACCTACACAATGCGCGTAAAAACATTTCTATTCAGCATGAGCATATAACCTTTCTAACATTTGAAAATTGTGTTCAGATTGTCCCTTCCGGCTCATGACCGTTAAAAAGACCATTGATTGTCAATTTTGACAATTAACACACTAAAAATTCCAAAATATCCTTTTAAAATGACCACAATACCATCGAAGGGGTTATTGCACATTTTTTTATATAAGACGAGGTTTCTTGCACTTTAACCATACATACACTTATGATAGAATTAAAAAAATAAATAAAACACAAAATATACAAAATGTCCAAAAAGGACATGTCACTAGACGACGCCTTACGAATCATTCTAAAATATCTATTAAACTCCACAAATGTCTTAAACCACTTAACCCATCTATGTCTCTCTGATCTCACTCACTCTCTCTTCCATCTCATTCTAATCATATCACAATATGCAGAAGTCATTGAGGGGAATTGTAGTCATTTCAAAAGGGTAATGTTTTTTTGGAGGGGGGTTTAGCGATTTTTTTGGGGTTAAATGCAAAAAATCCCTCAAATATATAGGGTTTGTGCATAACTAGTCCCTACTTTTTGAAAATATGCATATTAATCTATAAAATTAAAAAATGTGCAAATAAGTCCCTCTAATCACTTTTTTACAAAAAATAAACCTGAAAACCTTATTTTACCCTTTTCATTTCTATTTTGCCCCTCACCATATGTGCATATAAGCCCCCTCCCCCCCCCCCCCCCCTCCCTCTCTATTTCTGCTTCTTTTCTTTCTTTATTTCTCCATATCTGCTTCCATATCTGCACACTATTTATATATAAAAAAAACAGACGACACTATTACGGCATCTGATTATTGACCTAAGCTATTTTTCAAAATGATAGTATTGCCCTTATTTATTTTATTTTATTTTATTGCTAAAAAATGAAAGAAAATACAATCAAAAACCATTACAGGCATTATAGAGGAGCATCCCTCGCAAGGATAAGATATCCATCAGAATATGAGCAAAGCACAAATTGAAACCCTCAAATTGTTGATTTTTAACTCTCGTTCACAGATCGCCATCGCTGTTTATGTATATGTACATATAAGTATATCATATATGTATATGTTATATTGGGTATAAAGTTAAAAACCTTCAAATCTTCTTGGAAGATGATGGATATATACACACACCATACAACTTCTTTCAATCTTTCTTTTGCTCATTTTTTTAGAAGATGAGAATGGCCAAATCATTAATCACTGAAGAAAAGAAAAAAAAAACCTAACAATTTTAGGCTAACAAAAGCATAATATGAACATAAAATAGAAAAATACAAAGAAAAATTGAAACAATCAAACCATCAATGCTGACAGATGGAGTGTTCCAAACCACCCACATACAAAGAAAAATAAATCCCATAACAACTAACCCATTATCACCTCTAGCATTCTAAAGAAAGCTTTTTTTTTTTTAAATCTTCAAACCCGTCAACAGTGGACAGCTTAATGATGGCGGCGCTCGGCTCCAAAGATTCATACAAAAGCAGTAGGCATGGCTTGTGATGTTTCTGATTTTCGCCATTTTCCATTTTTTAGAATTTTCTGTTTTTGTGAGGGCATTTTGGTCTTTTCTCGTTTTACGTACCGGACACTGTGGGGTGTGCTGGGAGTGTCCGAGAGTCGGTTGGGGCATTCCATTGGTTCAGAACTCTTAGAAATGCACCGGTTTTTCATTTCAGCATTTTTTCATTTTTCGGGCCGAAAAGTCATGTGTGTGGGACCCGCTACCAGAATTGTTGCATACGAGGGTTTTGGTTGGGTCCATTTGCATTTCTTGTATAATTATTTTATACATTATAGTATGTTAGTGTGCTAAAATGGGTGGTTGTGATTTAATATGTGCATATATATTTAATTGCAGTGTAAATAAAAAGGGAAAAGATATTTTAAAAGGGTGGGACCCACATTTTTTTTTAATAAAGGGCCAAGAGGCCATTGACCTCATTTTCTCTTCCTCATTCTCTCTCTATGAATCTCTCTCTCCTTCAATTCTCTTTTTCTTTTTCATTTTCTACAAAAGCTATAAATCCTAATTTCTCTCTTATCTTTGAAAGATTTTAATTTGGTGCCGTTTGCGAGCAACTTGAAGAACTCATTGAGATATACGATTTGATCAGAGCAAAAGTGTTTTTGGTGCACCTTGGAATTTCAAAAATTAGGGCTTGTATTTGGGGATTTTGGAGTTTTCTACATCCTTTTGAGGTAGAGTTTGTCTAATTGTCAATTTCCTTGGATTTAGTAGCTAATTAGATGTTTTTCCCCTCCTTTGGCATATCAATTTGATATTAATTGAATAATGCAAATACTAGAGTTTTGGTTTATGCTTGAGTTTAATCCAATTGATGGTTTTGATGGAAGTAAATGTTTATTTTATATATGAATTTCTAATGATATGCGAAAAAGTGACTATGTGGTGAATTATATATGTGGAGCATGATAAAGTTGTTTAATTACCCTGTTGTGGCCATGAAATTATTTATTGCATAATGAAGGCATGTTGAGAATTGAATAATTGGAATTAAAATGGTCCATATGCATGGCATGAGGGTATTGATGGGTATAAAAGAGGTGAGGGTGTAGACGAGATGTGTGATAGTGGGGAAGTGAAGTGTAAATACATGATAGTATGGATGGGATCTGTGAATAAGTGAGGGTATGGTGTGATGTGCGGTTACATTGACACTTTATGCATTGCATTGTATGTGATAGTGATGAGGATTACTTGAAAAATTTAAGTTCCATATGTGAAATTCCTCGCATGATCCCACTCCTTCTTCCTATTCATTGTGTGTAAAGTATTGGATTACTTACTTTGTTTGAGGAGGTGCCACTTAGGCACTCTCTACTAAGCCGTTGTGCTCACTCCTCTACTTTTTTAGGGCTCGGGAAAGAAGTGGCGGGTGACGAATCTCTACAAACTTAGTTCGGAGATTTGAAGTTCATTTTTGATAACTTTTGTATTTTTGAAACCCATTCTTTTGTAAAGTGTCACCATAAAAATGTACTGTAATTACGATACTTGATAATATTTTCATGTAAATTTGAGACTATGTAGATGTTTGATGTTGAATAGGGAAAATGAAGTTATTTTAAGAAATTGTAGATGCCTTCTAACTGTATGTTTTGCCGTGAATTCAGAATTTGGTTGCGTATAAGGTTTTATGCAGGTTGGCTCAAAACGAGCCTAGTCTTTTTGGTGTTATCTGCTGCAGATAGCAGCTTCCCAAGGCCTATCGGCCGGTAGACAAGGACTATCAGTCGGTTGACAGTGCAAATTTTTGGTACTTTAGTAGGTCGAGTCAGGGTGAATGTTGTTTTGGCCTGCTGATAAGCACTGTTAGCCGACCGGACCCCCTTGTTAGTTAATCGACGTTGGATGATCGATCGACCGACAGTCCTTTTTCCTGACGTCCCGAGAGCATGAAGTATTGAGGATTGTTTAGTCGACCGACCCTGTAGGTCAGCCGGCTGACTATGCATTTTCAGCCGGCTAATGAAGGGCCATCAGCCAGCTGACCTTTCCATCAGCTGGCTGACTTTGCCCATTGACTTGGACATCTAACCATGCATTTTCAGCCGGCTAATGAAGGGCCATCAGCTGGCTGACCTTGCCCATTGACTTGAACCTTTGACTTCTCCTTCTAAGTTGTGTTTTAGAAAAACTTTGGACTCTTGAATGATCTGTGTATCCCCAGTGAGCATAGGAAAGGAAATAATTGCTCTTAGTTGATCTCGGGTTTGGGTAAGGACCCGGTTAAAGGTTCGGGCCCACGGGTTCGGGTCGTTACATGGCTGCCGAGAGAGGACAGGCTGTAACAACAACAATATCCAAAGCTTCACTCTGTCAAAAAATTGAGGTTGATTTCACGATTAATTTGGTTCAACTCACCAAATCAGATCCCAATCAAAATATAAGGAGTCGACGGCGGTCGTCAACGGTGAGGTCAAGGGATGATTGGTGAATTCGCTG